GGAAAAACAAGTTAGCCCCACTAGAGAAATTTAGGAATAAAGACTGGATTTTAAAAATTCATAAAAATACTATGGCTTTTCTAAAATTTCTTAAGATAGTCACCCCTGCTTACTGTTACAAGGAGAGGGTGGAGAGTCTAAATGTATCTAAAACATACTGGGCACATTTTTATTGAACAAATAACTCTCCTCAGTTCAGTCAATTCCGAAAATAAGCACGTGCAGCCATTGACAGAGCAGTTGCCACCGCCTGGTCCATGTATTCAATCAGATATTCAGGATAAATCTGATGTTTCTCAAAGATGACAAAGATAGATGGATTCGAAAGGCTGTTCACGCAGCTGTCATAGAAATTGTTTCCGCTGTCCTTGGCGGGAGGACGAAGATAGGAAGAGCTACCAAGGGTAAAGTCCCCCGCCAAGACCCGAGCCAGAAACATGGTCTTGATGTTTGAGTCGGTCTTGCTATAGTTATCAGAATACGATGCATCCCTTGCAAAGTAGCTTCCTGCAGTAGACAAAGATAAAGTTGGTAAGATTGCTGGCTTCCTGTAATACAACTATTGGAATTGCAAGGAGAAAAAAAACCTTAATGTTTACTGAGAGAATCAATCAGAAGCTGGTGAGAGATTTGTAAATAATTTCTTGTGTGTTGGGCATCCTTTCCAGCATAATTTATCATTAGGTATTACCACAATTTGATTTTTCACAAAACATGTTAGATATTATCAGTGGTTTTTTTCTAATTCCTCTTTCTCTTTCTTAGAGTATGCTGTCTGCCCCCACACCCATCCCACCACACACACACAAAGCTTATAGTAACGTTTTGGAAGCTTGAAATTGAAGTATCTCGCCTTCCAAAATGTTCTAATCGTCATAAGCAACCCACTGGGTGAATAAACTCTGGAACAATAGATTAAATGTTTAAAAAATTAAAGCCCATTTTGTTTCACTTGATAGGTTGATCCTTTGCTGTAAATAGGGCAGTGGCAGGGACTGTATCATTTGCCAGGGATGGAAGGAATACTGAAGCGGAGTGTAGTTTACTTGCATGGCATCAGAGACCAACTAAATACCACTTCCTCCTGGGGTTCAGAGAAGACAAGCCGTGGCTTGGGGGAGGGGGGGAACATGGACAGGAGTAAGGGGCCAAGGCTGGGGCCACAGCTGGGGGCAGGAGCAGGGCCAAGAGTGGAGTTGGAGTGGCAGCCAGAGCTAGGAATAGTGCTGGGCGGCACTCCCTCCCTTCCCCTCTTAAGCACATCTTTCCACACAAATAAGTGGGTTTACACTGCACAGTGTGGAGCACATAGGCCAAGGTCTGTAGAAGTGCCTGAGCTCCAGCTGAGTGTGTTTGTTACATTGCCACATTAAGTGGTTAACATTAACACTACCCATTTAGGCATACAGGTAACACCTAGCTCAGCTGAATGCCTCCTCCCTCTGCCATTCTCAAGTTCAAACTACTGCTGCAGCTACTGTTTGGCTAGAGAAAGTTCTCTCTAAATCAAGGTTAGCAGAGCACGAGGTAGAGAATTACCTTTGCCATAAGCTGTCCCATGAAGACCACAGATTCTCCAGTCAAAGTTCTGCTGGCAGATGGCATCGATATGCTTTTTACTGGTCCCATGAAATAAGTGTCTTTCACACACATCCTTTCCTCCACTAGTCTTCTGCATTTGCTCTTTCTGCCTGTAATAAAAAGCATTGTCAAAGTTCCACAGTGCAGAGCCAGATTATTTTAGCCAAGCAGGTTCCGATGAGGCAGGCACTCAGACTATTTGTGAAGAGTGTTGCAGAGTGTTCAGATTTTGCAAAATATTTTAATACTTTTTAAAAATTGAGTAATTGCACAAAAGTATGCTTTTTAAAAGGCCTGGTTTAAACAGAAACAGAAGCGAGATGCACCATGTACTCAAATATACCTGTGTAAGAACTTATAAGGCTCTGACTGTAGCCAAGTGCCTCCAAAATATTTAAGAATAGAAATATTAGTCTTCCTTCCCAGGCTGTTGGATAAATACCTGGATATATATGTGTGTGTGTGTGCGCATGCGTGTGATCACATGTACACCCTACTGACAGAAAGCCTAGTCAGAGGGGAGTTTGAAGTCATTCTGAACTCTTGCAGAAATTCCCTAAACTAGAACTGTGAAAGTTCTGTGTGACGGGGTGTACCAATCCCGCACTGGGCCAACAGGGACGGACCAATCGCTGTGCATGCTCCAGGTGGAAGAGCTGGATAAAAGGAGGCAGCCCAGCTCAGTTGGGGCTGGCTGCGGAGGAAGAGGGATGTGTAGTGCAGGCTCCTCCAGAGGGGCTGTTGATACTCCAAGCAGCAGAGCCCGTGGACCTGGACTACACTGTGGGCAACTCGCCAGCTGCAGGGAATGAGGGGGACACCGAGCAGCCACCAGCCGAGGAGATGCCTGGGGTGCAATTTATGGTAGGAAGTGACCAAGGGGATGTAGCAGAAGCTGATGCCTAAACCCTTAGCGTGGAAGTCCCCAGCTTCATAGGGCCCTGGGTCAGAACCCGGTGGAGCAGGAGAGGCCAGGTTCCCCCACCACACCCCACAGACCAGTAGGCATGGCTGCTGTTTGCTCTCGGTCCCAGTCCAGAGGCTCAGGGACCATAGACTCTTTGTCCTGCCCCGCCCAAGGGCTACAGGCTGACTGCTGTTCTGCCCCACCCAGAGGGCCAGAACCCCAACTGCAACTGCCTGACCTAGCCAGGAGTCTCAGGTGCTACTGACTGTTTGCTTGCTCGGCCCTGCCCAGAGTCCAGAGCCCACCACACTGCAATTACCTGATCTAACAGGGAAGCCCGACAACTGGGTGACGGGGTGTCCCAGCTCGACAAACAGTGCCTCCTATCACATTCTGTCATTTGCACTTGCAGGTCTCCTTCACTGGCTGCCAAACTTCAGTTCTTGTGAAATGCAACTCATGGGAGATAATGTCTCTCCCCCGCTGCAAGCTGTATCTCAGGGAGATGGGCTACTCCCACAGAGGGTTTTGAATATCAGAATAACCTCCATCTTGCCTGAGTTCTGCCTCAGCCAGCTGCAGATCTCAGCTAAGCAGTGGTCAAGCAAGTGCTAAAAAGCAGTTGTGCAGCAGTTTACATGGCTGCATACTGGCTTCTCACATAGGACTCTGAACGTAACTAACAAGTACTAACATACTAGAGCAATATTTTACACATACCACTGATACACTTTCCAAAGAGTCGGGTTCTGGATTCTCTGAATCTCTTGAATGACTGTTTTGGGCATTGTGCGCTGAAAGTCAGCCTGGACCTTCTTGTATTCGTCAGAAGAGCTGGGAAGTTTGATCAGCTGTAAAAGAAAATATATGTAAACCAGTCTCCTATCTTTTACAGAGTCACCACAAACCACCACATTATTACTGCTCAAGTCCTGAATGCAGGGGGGGTTCCTGCTTGTATTTTACCTTAGAAACACCACAAAATCAACTTGAGCCTTCCTACTTTTACTAGAAGATTTGTTGAGGTTTTTAGTGGGGGACTATTGTGAGTTCTTATACTTTAAATAAAGAGATGGGGGGCAGGGATGTTGAAGATTCAACAAAAAGCTTTCTTTCTCCAATATGTCAATCACAGTAGCCAAATAGAGCTGGGGGAGGAGGAAGTCACAAAACGTTTGTCAACATTTTTCCTTTTTTATTTCAAATTTTTGAAATGTGAAAAATTTCCACCTGCTCTACTAAATAGATGTTAAAAAGCAAGACAAAAATCCCCACACAATTTAAGAAACTACCTCCTCTTCTCCATTGTTTGGCTTTATAATCAGGAATAAAAAACCCAACCTTCCCCCTCCCCCCCCCTTCAGATCATCTTTAATGTCCTGACTTAGGAACAACATGCCTATCATCACCTGCCAGTACACCCTACGATGAACACAAAATACTGCACTCCCACCAGCTCCACCCAAGAACAGAAGTAACATAAGTTTGCCTCACCACCCGCAGCTATCTTGTGTAGCTGAATTTAGTGTCAGTGCCCAAGGATGCATGAACCCTTGGACCACAACCAAACACAAAAAGAAGACAGCAGAACCAAAATAAAATTAAATAAAAGCATTGAAAAGCATTGTGGGTCTGTCTTCCTGCTTTGATTGCTGGATGTTAACCAGGCCTTGGGTTAACGTAGTCACTGCTTCTTGATTAGGCCAAAGCCCTGATCCTGCACTAAGGGATTCACAAGTGAGCCCTTGCACCCCTACCAAGCCCCACTGACTCAGCAAGGCTCTTGCAGGTACAAAGATCCACCTTCCCCCATCTTAGTGTATAGCAAGCACAAGATTGCAATTACTAATATAGTAAGTACATCGTGTAAGGGATGGTCATCTACAAGGGAACATGCAACACTGAAATAAAGGTTGCTTACCTGTAACAGGTGCTCCAGATGGCTCTGCATAGTCAGACACATGAAATAATGCACCACCATGTGGTGCCTTGCAGGAGAACCTTCTTCTAGCAGTGTCAGCTAGAGCGCTTTCACACCCCCACCCCATCTGCCCCCCTCAGTATGACTGACATAGCACCTTTGTCTGATCCATCAGATTCAGACAGCTCTGATGCATAGAAATCAGCACTGCTAACAGTGGCTCCTTTGCCCTTGTGCCTCATTTCCTTTGGTGTCACAACGGTTGTAATCGAAGGCACTGACGACTCCGGTTATGACAGACTGATGAAATTCATCTTCCTGGAACCGGTAGTGGACAGTGAAGCCGACTCCATTCCTGCAGTTGCAGAGTTCTGCAACAGCTGGAAAGCAGTATGGCAGGAGGTACGGAACTGGGAAGAGTAAGTGAACTGTTGCTCATCCTTTCCATGAGAACTGAGGCAATGGTATCCGACGACGTGGCCCTCGGTTCAGCCCTATACAGCCTTCCAGGAGCTGCAGGGACCAGATACGGCCCCGACAGAGGATGCGGCTTCTTGTAACCCTTCAGTCTTTTGCTGCTGGGAACCACAGGGGCTAAGACTGGCCTTATGGATCTCAGATTGGAGGGCTTGGATCCAGAGGGTCTGGCCTTGAGGGCTTCTTTCAGGAAAAGGAGGTGCAGGCAAATCTCCCTATCCTCGCATGCTCTGGGAGTTAAGATCCACTCAGAAGGTGAATGTTCTTCTCCCAGGCACCACACATGGTCATCGGACACCATGAAGACAGCCAGGCAGGAAGCGCACCTCTTAAATCCCAGCTTCTTCTGTTTCCTCAATTCCACCATAACACAGAACCAAAAAAGATCACTCACTAAACTGACCACTAACACTAACTACCTAACACAACAGAATCTTTGGTTCCAAAGAGGTTCACATCTGTCCAGCCATGCAGTTGGAAGGAAATGAAGTTGTGAGGCACTCTGCCCCCTAAAAAGCCTCGCCCTCAGAATGTGGCAATGCTGAGGGGAGAGATGAGGAGCATGAGAGCACGCTAGCTGATACTGCTAGAAGAAGTTGTATCGGAAATCACCACAAGGTGATGCGTTATCCCATAAGTGGGAATATGCAGTGTCTCTTGAAGAAGAGCCTACATTTTAAGAAAGCTGTATGTGATCAGACAGAAAAACTTAAGAGCTCCATACCTTGTATCCCAATTCTGGTAAAGCTGATTTGTCCCAGTGAGCTGGAATGGATTCTTCCTGTGAATGCTCAACACCACTGTATATTACAAGAGAGTTATTGTTGGTTTGTTTGTTTGTTTGTTTTAAATCATAATATTTAAGAGTATTACCTTAGAGAGTTTTGCCTAATTTAGAATAAATAAAAGGTAACCCAATATATCCAGGCATTTCAAAACTGTATCTTCAGTTTAGCATGCGTAACATATCCTGTCAAAAGTGTTCCAAACCTCATGTCTGTTATTTAGGAACTGAGGCCCCAAGTCATCAAAGCACTTTGGTACATATCTAACTTTAAGCATGAGAGAAGCCCTATCGATTTCAATGGGAACTATTTCCATGCTTATAGTTGGGTATGTGCCTAAGTGCTTTGCTGAATTGGGGCCTGAGCACATAAAATGACAGAAAAGCGCTCAGTATCAATTGTTGGTATGAGTTGTGTCACCAAACTGAGCTCAAACTACCAATAGTTCTGGTGTAGGTCATCGGTTCTCACACAAACCCAACATTTAAAGGGATTAAGTCTCTTTTGTTACCATTAAGCTCACTTTGCTTGGGCCTTCTGCAGTTTTGAGTCCCAGTCTCCACAAGGTGAGAGTTTATGGTTTCCTTCCTACTGATTATAAACAATCTACTATTACACATGTCCAATTCCACCTGCCTACACAGGACTCAACCATATATGATATTTCCAAAGATAACAGGTTATAGATAGGGGTTTCATAATATCAGAGTATTATGTGAAAAGACTGAAATGCTCAGCCAATATGCTCTTCCCCCTCACCCTCCCCCACAAACTCCTGTACTACTTCAAAATACCGGAACATTACTTTCCAGTACCTAACGCCCACAATATCAAATTTATTGTCTTCAAATCCTGCTTGAATTTGATACCAACAAAAGCATGATTGGGGCACCCATTATGTATGCACCACAGTGGTTAGGAAACATTTCAGCATCACAAATGCATTGTGCTTTAGTTCTCAGTTACAAAAAACTAAAACATGTATCTCCATCATAAACTCACTTACCCAAAATAACATGTTATTTTGGGTAAGTTACTACACTATTTTACCTTAGGAGGTACAAATGCCCATCATCATTTTTACACCAGGTGTTCCTAATCCTCCCAAATACTATACTTCATTACTTAAGCAATGACCATTTCCAATTTGCTACATAAATTGTCAGTTACAAATTTATGGCATAAGACAAGCCAGGAACTGCAAAATGGTTAGGCAGAACTCACAGCTGTTACTTATATTTTCATTAATGACCTACGCACAAAAAGCAGGTGTGTGCCAATGAAATCTGCTGACAACATAAAACTGGAGGCATTTTCAATACAGAGGAGAATCAAAATATTATACAAGAAGAACTGGATTACCTAGAGGACTGAAGTAATAGAAAATGGATGAAATTTAATAGTACAGCATGGAAGGTCATGACCTTAGGGACTAATAAGAATTTCTGCTATAAACTGGGGGCTCATCAGTTGGAAACAACAGATAAGACAGATCTGGGTGTATTAGTTGATCCCAGGACGACTATAAACCAGCAGTGTAATGCAGCTGTAAAAAAAGTGAATGTGATCCTAGAATGTATCAGACGAGGCATTTCCAGTAGAGATAGAGAAGTATTAATACCATTGTATAAGGCACTGGTAAACTGGAATCCTGTATACAGTTCTGGTCACCCACATCCACGAAAGATGAATTCAAACAGGATCAGGTATAGAACAGGGCTACTAGAATGAGGGGTAGGGTAATAGAGAGCCTATCTTACAAAGAGGACACTAAAACAGCTTGGCTTGTTTAGCCTAGCAAAACAAAGGCTGAAACAGAGTTAACCAACCAGGTTTAAAATAAAAAAAATAGTAGCCTTGGTGAAAAGGGATACTGGGCTTCCCATCAAGTCACTGACCTGAATCCTGCTGGTGGGCTCTGCCCCTTCCTACCAACTCCTTGTGGTCTATGCTTACCCGATTGTCAATTGACTCCAGCAATGAGTGAGCTATTTTTAGAGTCTAACTAGAAGGTGTGAACAAAAAAACCACCCACTCAACTGGATAATTATTTTCCCCCCATAGCTGTTCAGTTTTAAAACACTGCCATACTAGTTTTAGTTGGGACTGGACACAGATATTTAAGTAACTGTGAGAAAGGCTGTTTCTGTTACCAATACCTCAAGGGTTAATTTTGTGTTTTATAGGCACCAAGTACTATAGAAGCGAGATGTGGGCTATTACATACGGAAATTAATCCTCGCTTACCTTCACATTTTCTGAATTCTATCTGAAATTGCTCTCGGTTTTCAGACACATTCCATCCTACCTCACTATTATTATAATTAGCATTTATAGTTCAGTAGTGCCTAGACGTCTCAGACATTTCAGGGCCTCATTGTGCCAGGTCCTTTACAGACATATTAAACAAAAGACCCTGCCCCCCAAAGAACTGACCTCTCCCCCATCTGCTTATGCAACGTTTTTCATCTTGATCCAGCCTCTTCTCAGTCAGGTAGGGTGTTCAGGACCCATGGGTACAGCCATATCTAAAACTCTTTCCACTTCACATACACTCCTCTTTCCCTCCAAGAGTGTCAATTCTTATTATAATTATCTTAAAAGCAGTCTTTTTACTTTTGCTTAGTACTCACGCTCTCTCTGCAAGACACTGCATAGTACTGCATGAATACATAGGTATCCACCACCTCAGAGTAGAGTAACTGTAGTTTACCTGATTCTCCGTTTTTCCACGTCTTGCGGGGAGAGGAATTTGGGTCTCCTGCAAACCTCTCTCTGTGTCTTATAGCGAAGGTTTCTCTGATTCATGGCTGAAAACACAGCACAGACAGCCAATTTCTCTTTCAACAATCTTCACATTTGGGGCAAAATTCTCCATTAAGACTCTGCCAAGACTGCCACCAAATGATGCCAATGTCCCACTCTTACTACATGCAGCCAACTCCCATTTGCATCACAGACTACAGGAGCCAAGCTCTACCATGTAGATCAGATAGGAGAATTCTGACTCCAATTTTTATTTATTTATTTATTTATTTTTAGTTTTGCTCTGAAATCTAGAGGAAATGACAGATAATTCACTTCCCTTTCCAGGGCTATGGAGAGAACGGATGCATCATAGGTAGCAGTTGTGGAAGCATCCCCACACTGTTCTGCTCGTGTGCTTCAACCTTCACCTGGAAGGACCACCTCTACAGAATGGGTAGTTGCATTCTTCATACTCAGGTTTCAGCCTCTCCCTTAACGCTGTCAACACAGGCGACGTTTCTCCCCTTACAGCTATATTTGGACCATTAACTCTTCAAATATGCTACCAAACAGCCATCACAGGGCACCAATTTTTATTGACTGACAACACATGGTAGTCTGGATTTGAACCGATGATCCAGGAATGAAAGACTTTGCTACAGGGACTCTAACAGCACACTTATGCCGGCATAACCCCATAGTGCAGACGCTGCCTACAGCAATGACGGAAGGGGCTTTTCCCCCATTGCTGCAGGAACATGACCTCCTTGAGTGACGGTAACATTCTTCTGTCAGTCTAGCTGCATCTACGCTTGGGGTTAAATCAGCACAGTTACGGCTCTCAGGTGTGTGGATTTTTCAGACCCTGAGCAATGCAGCTGTGTTGACCTAAATTGTGTGTGTGTGTATACAAGGCCTTTGTATCGCATTTACTGTCCCTAAACAAAACCAAAAATAAATCCAGTCTCGTAGATTTTTAAATAAAAATAAAAACGGAAACCTTATTTTTGGAAAATAAGCCAGAATGTTATACCATTCAGGCTGTCCGGGCAAAGATGTCTGTATTTGTTTACAAAAATAAAGAGCTGGATTGAAGGAACCACCCTCATTGGTTACTCTAGTATTTCTAAGGCTAGGTCTATACTACCCGCCTGAATCGGCGGGTAGAAATCGACCTCTCGGGGATCGATTTATCGCGTCCC